CGTCGTCGTCGTCGTCGTCGTCGTCGTCGTCGTTCCTGTTGTCGCCTCGTTTCAGTGACGATCGAGAGATCGAGGGGCGCCACGATGGATGGCACGGGTACGTCCAACACCGACTGATCCATCACGTAGTTTTCCGACGTGCCGGAGGCGGCGATCACTCCCACCTCCGACGAGCGAGCGAGCGAGCGAGCGAGCGAACACAACACGGGGGATATCTTCACGTTTTCCCGTTTTCCAGCCTCGTCCATTCCGTTTCGCGCGACGATTTTAAGGAAATCCCCTCCCTTCTTCAATAATTCTCTGTCCTCCTCCTCGAGGAGAAAGGAGAAAATAGGTTTAGCTATTTTCGAAGAAAAAGGATGATCGATATCTTTGCAGTTTTATTTCGAGAAAGAGATGAAGATGTGTACAGTATAGTAGTAAAAGTAAGGTGTGTAACTAGGGAAAATGATATCTCGAGAGGGAAATGTTATACGATTTATTTTGAGTCTCTTTTGTCCTTCAATTTAGAGAAATAGATGATATCGAATCGTTACATTTCTCGAACGCCTTGTTTATTCACGCGAATATCATCTTCTTACAATATCCTATCTCTCTTTTATCTCGTCGTTATCTCCCTTGGTTACCCAAGTTTATCGCGACAATATCGACTTAGCTCCATTCGATCGCTACAAAACAACTATAATCTCCCCCCACCCCTTCCAATAATCGATACCGGTTTTAAAAAAACGATAAGAGTGCAGCGCGAGGAAAAATTCCGTTATCCGTCAAGGAGAGTCGACGGCCCGCGTAAAGGATTGCATCCGGGATTGGCTTGAAAAAAGAAAGAAGAGGAGAAAAAAGAGAGAGAGAGAAAAAGGGAGATTGAAAATCGGATTAACACGATCGACTGAAACGAGTATCCATCCCGTGCGCCAGGTGAACGGTTCGCGTTCTTTTCCCTTCGTCGGCGAATATAAATCCGTGTATAACACGGGCCAACCTGTCAATAACCCGGCTAAAATTCTTCGCCCGTCGAGGAGAACATTGGCCCGTCGATTCGAGGAAAAGATACTCGACCGATAAAAACGCACGTAGGTGAAATTATCGCACGACGAATTGCCGTCACAAGTCTTGCGTAATCGCCCGCCGCGTGCATCGGTGCCCTCTAAAAAAAAAAAAAAGAAAGAAAAAATGCTAATTCGTTGGATTATCTTTCACTTTGCACGCGTTCGAGTTCAGGTTTCGCGTACGCGATAAACGTGACGATAAAATCGTGAAATTGTAGTAAAAGTTCGATAAAAATTCGATGAATGTTCAATCTCTAAAAGTTTTTTAAACTACTGCGCTATCTAGTCGAGATATTATTATAAGAAGGTGATAAAGAAATTTAATTTCCATCGGATTGGTGAAGGAAGAGGAAGCTCTCAGTGACGTGATAATGGTGACGTGATTCGTGTCGTACGAGTTTGCCTCGAACGCTATTCTCATGTAGTCAATCTTTCAATTGCTAAGCTTATGGAAAATTACTTCTATTTCACGTTGGAGAACGATACTGGACGGATCGTTGGCGTTATTCGATGTTTCCTTCGTTCCAACTTTGAAAACAATCTTGAAACTTGTTTGTTACAGAATTTTACAGAGATCTCGTTAAAACTCGCGAGTCTCGAAAGTTTCTTCCAAACCAACGAAACAT